CAGAGCAGCAGCAGCAGTGGGGGCACCAGCACCATCACCATGTTCACCGTCCGAGTGACCTCCTCCATCTGCACCACCACTCGGCTGCCTCCGTCCTCGTCTGTCCCCGCCCCGAAGTCCCCCTCTCCGCCACCTGGGCCTGCCTCATGGCCCTCCTCTCCCTCCTCACTATCACCGCCCACCCCGGGCTCTGCACCCCCATCAGGGTTGAAGGGTGGACGGGCCACGTCGGGCCATCGGGGCCCTGGCTCCACATGCTCCTGGCAGCCCATGAAGTCCCGCAGGATGGACTTGGGGTAGCCGGGCTCCATTCGCAGGCGCTCATTGTCGAACTTCCAGTACTTGGTGCCCTTGTAGAAGTAGGTGTAGGCTGCAGGGGCAAGCAGGCCAGAATGGCGTCAGGCTGGGCCCTGCCCGCTGGCCAGATACCCTCGACGAAGACCAGAGTGTGCTGAAGGGGCCCCAGCTTTAAAACACTGTCCTTCTCACTTACTTCCTTGGGCATTTTCAAATTTGTCCCTTCCCAACTGACAGGAGCCAGACCAGGCTCAGAGAGGAACAAGATATAGGTCAAGGGCGTGATCAGAAACTTGTGCTTCCTGGCTGGGCTAACATTGACTTGTGCAGGGCAAAGAAGGGTACTATAGCCTGCTGGGTTGGCGGCTGTAATCAGGGGACCCAGGCCTGGCTTCCCTCTGCACTAGAGAGGCCAATGTCTTGCTCAAGGCCACATGGCCAGCCTGTATCGGACCTGGAGTGGAGCCCAATGCTGCCTTGGACCAGCTCTTTGGCCTTGGGCACTCTCCACCCATGTCCCTTTAACCCCAAGAAGGGCCAGGTTTGAACTACCAGGTCTGTGCTCAGCTGAGCACAATTAGATCAGAGCAGTCGCAGAGTGATGCCGTCATGCACAGAAGGGAAGCCATATGACCTGCCTGAGCATTAGCAAAGCCTGCTGGGTCTCCCTTGAGCCTGAGAACCTGAAGGCTGAGAACCAGGGCTGATGAGTTTTCTTAAACTCACAGAGACCCTGCTGGAGAAATAAAAGCCACAGCTCCCTGTTGCATAGTTATAACAACAGAGATCAGGCTTCCCTGCCAGGTGGGTAAGGGGGCATCCTGGGAGGACTTTTGCCCCCTTCTGCTCTGGATGGGGAGCAAGGCAGCTCTCAGCACCAGCTCAGGCCTGGGCTGTACTCTTGACTCCATGATTTCTTCGCTGTGGGATTTGGGGCTCTTTAGCAAGCTCTCTTTGGCCTTTGTAAATGGTGACAGTGCAGGGAGAACCATGAAGATCATGCTCCAGAAGCTTCCAGCCCAGGGCCTGACACAACCATGTCTCCTAAACATGCCATCGTGATGCTGGTGACCTCAGGCAAGCCCTACCCACTGTGTGTGGAGGAGGGGAATGGTGAGTGCTGGGCAGACTGGGAGGGGGCTGGCCCTGGTACCTGCATCATTGCTCAGGAAGGCCCCTTTAGGGGAGGCGGGAATCCCCTGCCACACGCTGATGGGCTTGGGGTAGCCAGGGTCTCCACGCTGCGTGTCCTCGTTGAAGCGCCAATACCTGTGACAAAAGCACTAGGCTGTGGGCCAGTGTGGGCCTGGGAGCCTGGGCCCCAGAGGTAGTGAGTTCTTTCTGGGGAGGCCTGAGGGTGGGGGACCCAGTTGAGTCCTTTTCCCTTTAGAAGAGGGGCCCTCACCTGTCCTCTTGGAAGAAGAAGGTGTGACCCGTGGGCTCCCACCAGATAGCTGTGTCGATGCGATCGTAGGGAATGTCCAGGCCATAGGAGGTCAGAGGCTGTGGGTAGCCAGGCTCCAGGTTTGCCTCTCGGAAGAGCCAGTAGTGGTCACCTGCGGGAGGGGCCAGGAGTGAGTAAGGACAAGCCTGGAGCCAGGGGCTTGTGTAGGAAGGAGGCATGAGGACTGATATTCTGGGCCCCCAAATCTGTTCACATCCACTTCCACACTCACCCCTGCCCTCCCACACACACAGAGTAACACATCCTTGTATGGAGGACTGGCTCTGACACCTACACACCCAGGACAACATACAGTACAGCCTTGTATCACACACCCTTGGCCCTCAGAGATCCTGATGACACACTCATTTACACTCATGCAGTTGCCAGCTCACACCTGTAGACACCACACACTCAATCACACTATACACAGGCCTCCATTTCCACCTGAACATCCATGCCCCCACACCCAGTTCTTGTACAGAGACAAGAAAGAGGGGGAGCCCTGCATGGCCTCTGGGTCTGGGGGCTGCATCCATGGGGCACCCCAGTGCGTGGCCCAGGGCTGCTCATTTGTAGTCTGAGCCCAGCCCTGTCCTCAGGGACTTCCTGCCTGGTTGAGGCTTGGGCCAGCGGGGCTGGCCGATCCATCACAGGGACTGCCCTCGAGGATCTCTCCCAGGGGCAGGCCTCAGAGGCAGAGCTGGGGGTAGGGAGCTCTGTTGTCTCCACAGACAGACACAGGAATCCTGTCCCTGAGAGGGCTTGGGGACCCATTCTTATGAAGGAAAGGGCAAGGAAGAGTATAGGAGGCAAGGAAGGAGGATGACGGGGCAGAGCCCCTGTGCTGCAGAAGTTGGACACTCTCCTCCGTCAGGGCAGCCACTGGCCCCCTGGTCCTCTGGACTCTGTCTAGGTCCCCAACCCCTGCCTTGCTGCCACAAGGACTCGTCTCCCCCAGAGTAAGCCTGCAGTGGGCAACAGGACGCGATGTGTGACGCGGTCCTTCCCTCTCCTCCTCCCTCAGGTCTGGCTGGATAAGGCCAGAGGTTAGGGCAGGAAGGCTGCCCAGCCCCTCCCACCTACCCCAGCTTACCTTTAAAAAAGACAAAACGCCCATCCTGGCGCTCATAGGCAGCACTGATGTCACTGGGCAGGCCACGCCAGAAGTGCCCGATGGGCATGGGATAGTTGTCCAGGACACGGTTATGCCGGACCCGCCAGAACCAGCGGCCCTGGGGAGGGTGTGGGTGTGAGCCAGCACAGCCCGCTTGCTGCTTCAGACTGGGAGAGGCCCCCCCCTCACCCACCCCTTCCCAGGTCAGGGAGGGTCCGGGGGAGACGGCTTAGGAAGCCAAGGAGATAGCCCTCAGTGTGGACCTCTAGGTTTATTGTATGACCCTGGGGAAGTCCCTTGTCCCTTGGGCTGGTTTCTTCTTGGTCTGGGATCTGATGGCTCCCGTGGGCTGCACGGTGAGGGAGCGTGCAGGTGGGGCAAGGGTCTGGGGGTGGGGAGCTCTCTGCTCTGAGCCTGGGCCAAGGGGCTGGGGAGGTACAGGAAGGGGCCAGACCTTGAACACGAACATCTCCCCACGCAGCATGGCCACGGTGTCAAAGTCCCCGTCGCAGATGTTGGGACCATACTGGTCAGGCCGCTCTGTGGCTCGGGGCTGGGCTGGGGGACCTGGCCTTGGGGGCCGCTCCGGCTTCCCGCCTGGGGGTGGTGGCTGAGGGGGTCTGGGGGGCCGATGGTCTGGCCGGCCTGGCCGCCGGGGAGTCACAGTGGGAAGGGGTTGGGTGGGCTGTGGCTGACCATCCGGGGTGCCTGCAGAGGGGCGGCAGGGGGAAGTGAGGGAGTAGCCTTGGAACCCAGTCAGGATTCCAGGTTCTCTCACTTAAAACCCTGGGAGCCTGGGGACCCCAGCCTGGGGAGACCTGTGCCCCATGGGCAGGCCCACCCCTGTGGAAGGCCCTATCAGTCCACAGCAGACCCCTTTACCATACCACTCTCACCCTCAGGAGGACCTCCATCCTCCTCCATACAGCCCCCTCCTTGACCTCTCCACACTGAGTTGGGTCACTGCACCCCTGAGGCTGCCCTTGGCTCTACCTCCCCTCAGGGACATGCCCCTCAGGATGCTAGTCTGCTCCACTGGAAGCTCCAAAAAGCAGTGGACACAAGCAGAGGAGAGAACACGGTTCCCAGGTGGCCAGGAACACAGTGAGGGGGCACCTGTCATGTGCCCAGCAAGGGCTTGCAGTGGGCACTGAGTGTGGCCCTGACCCACCAAACTGGGGGCTTTCTTGGGTGGGGCCTGCCTCAAAGGCACTGGGAAGTGATAAACCAACAAACTCAGAGGGGATCCTGGCACAGGCTCAGGCTGGGAGGGCCAGTGGGAGGAATGGGGTCCTGGGATGCCAGGGACAGCCTGGGTCTAATATCACTCAGACTGAGGAGGAAAGAGGGGCAGTGAGGGGCCCTGGGGTCAGTGCATCCCTTGCGGGCCCCAGCCTGGAGCCACCATGATGGCTCTGGGTGAAGCCCCTGAGTGAGGGCCAGGACCTGGAGTTGGCCGGCCTTGGCTTGATTTCTAGCACCATTGTTTACTCACTACTAATCGTCTCTGGGCCTCTGTTTCCTCATATACAAAATGGGGGTAGTGGTAGTATCTATGCTTTGTAGGACTGGGAATTGAGAGCAGGCATGCAGAAGCCACCACCATGCCCAAGCCGCCCGCTCACCATAGAGCTGCTGGATGCCCCGGAGGTCGTCCTCTGGCAGCTGGAAGTTGTCAATGTCCATCCACTGATAGAATGGCGCCATGATGGCACTGGGGTTACTTGAGTGCTCCAGCCCCAGTGCGTGGCCCAGCTCGTGCACTGCTACCAGGAAGAGGCTGTTCCCTATGGTGGGGGTGGGCAACACAGTCAGCTCTGGCCCAGCCCAGGACCTGGCCACCCCAGACCCCATGGGCTGAGGGGGCTAGAGAGCCTGCCTTTGCTTTACTCTTAGAGGAAGCTGAGCTGCTCTGACTTCAGGCCTCCAGCTTCTGCATCTGAAAAATGGGTACAATGATCCCTTTCCTTTCCTACTAGTCCCTGGAGATAGTGGAACAGCAGACTGAGAACAAGTGTCACTGCTCTTGAGAACTGCCCAGGAGATGTTCTCCCCTCCCAACCCTGCAGCTCCAGCTCTGCCTCCCGTGTCCTGACCCTGACCAATTGTTCTCACCATGCAGGTCAGTGCTGGAGAAGGTCCAGGGCTCATCTGCATCGAAATGGGTGTCCCCACCCAGGCCAGGGCCAGGGAAATAGGCGTGAGCCAGAAAGCCACCTGTGCCATCAAACGGTGAGCTGTCGCCGTGGAAGCCAGAGGCAAAGAGTACCATGATGTCGGCCTCCTTCTGCCGACGCAGCCGGATGTCCTCGTAGGGCACCTCCTGGAAGAGCAGGGGCGTGGCCTGCTCCCACACACGGAAGGCCCGGCGCACTGCCTCCAGGGAGTGGTACCAGCCCAGCTTCTCTGTGTAGTTCTGGATGCTGCAGGTGGGTGGGGACATGTGTGAGTGCACCCAGGGCCTGGGGCTGCTGTCCACTGCTAGCACACATTGGTTTGGGGGTGGGGACACATGGTCTTAAGGAAGATGCATAAGATCCAAGCTGGTTCCCAGACAATGCGCATCAATATCAACTGTCAGTTCACCTTGATGTGGATTTGAAAAAAAGAACCAACAGGTCAAGGCTGGGAATTCATTCAGGTATCACTGAGTAAGGTTGCATTGTGCCAAATAAGCTTATTTTAAGAAAGAATAATATTGAGTAAATAAAAGTATAGGTGATATATAGCCAAGAGAAAGACCTAGAAAGTGGGATGGAAATGGCTGAGGTGCAGAATACACGAGCGTACACAGGATAAAAGCATGATGAGGCCTGGTATTTCCCACATAAAGCAGATTAAGCGTCCGTGTGCTGGCCAGATCTCCATCTGGTTGGCTCATGAATTCATTCTGGGGGAATGGGTCTAAGTGACCTCAGGGAGATGAAGCTGCAGGTGAGGTCATGGCTAGACTGGAACAGGAAGAAGGACCCTTGGGGACTGCCATGTGGCTGGAGGCTAGGAGAGGTTTCTTGCCAAATGACTCAGCAGAACGGAGGAAGGTGCCTGAACCAGGGTTTGTGCAGGTGACTTGCTGCCTGCCCACTGGACAGTGCCTGGATTCCGGCACCCTGGGTCTCTCTGGCCCTTCAGATGCCTGAAACCCCCAGTTTGTACTGGTGCAGGAGCTCATCTTGGCCAATGAGGCCAGCCCTGGGCTTCTGGCAAGTGGGAGGAGGGAGGAAAGAACAAAGTGGATGCAGCTTGAAGGGTCCTGACCTCCTCTGGAGGGAGAATGCCTACGGGGTGTGGCCAGTCTCATCAGCATGGTATCGGGATTGGACTGTCCAGGCTGGCACCCTGGGGTGGGCTGCTGGGGAAGGAAGCCTTCCAGACAAGTCCACTGGGAAGCCCCAGGCCTCAACCCAGGCAGAGAGGAGCCAGTACCTTTGGGAGATGGACTGGGAGGGACGCCATCCTGGGCAGCCGGGGTCCATACCTGAAGGTCAGGTGGTGATTGTTCCACTTCCTCCCAGTGAGGGCGTAGCGCTTCCGTCGCCGCCGCAGATTGGCTTTCACGCGTGTCCCAAACTGGTCTGGCACCCCACAGCGGGGCCGCTTCATCCACCTGGGTGCACAGAGCCTCCCCTCAACACGCCTGCCTGTTCAGCTCTGCCTCTTCCAGGCAGTCCACCTTCTTCCACCCTCCCACCCCGGCCTCCAGCTGCCCCGTATATGAGTGTAGTGGGCGTGGGAGACATTCTAAGCTTCAGTTTCCTCTTTAGGAAAACGGTACAATGATCTTTTACTGGATGACTGGGTGCTCAGCAGTGGCTCTGCCAAGGTGAGCCCCTTTTCACCAATATCACCCAGAAGTGGGAGGAATTACCCCTGAGGCCTCCTATCCCTGGTACCTTATGCTCTGTGCATGATCATCAAGAATGCAGCTTTGGGGTATATCACCTCTGTTAGATTCAGAGCAAGGCTTAGCTAGGATGTCCCAACCACAGCATGAATGCTGCGCCTCCCCATTCCTATGCCTGTGCAGACATCACTAATCAATCCTATGCTTTCACTGCTGAACTGGGCTTTGGCCTCAGGAGCTTTCTCAACACAAGGCTGCAGGCAGCCACTCCTAACTAATCAGACCTAGCACAGAGGATCAAACAATTTGCCATCTCTTATCTAGGCCACTCTTTTCTGGAAACTCCACATGGTAACCCTCGTCAGAGCAGGCCAGAAGGAGGTCAGGTGCCGGTGGGGTCTGGGAATGGCCTGACGGAGGGACTCACGTCTTGGTCTCTTCGTCGAGCACACCCGTGACAGGGATCCCGTAGAAGCGCTGCATCTCGGCGAGGGCCGAGGCCAGGATCTGGGCGGAGCGCATGGTGGACATGTGGCGGCTGGGCTGGGGCAAGTAGCCATAGAGCCGCAGCCAGTTCTGCAAAGGAGAGGCCACGACCTGGTCAGCAGGTCCCGGCACCGCCACCTCCAAACACGCACGGCTTACATCCCACCACGCCTCACCACCGCCACTGCCCCATCAGAGCGGCCATCACCTCCTGCGGGTGACTCTGTGAGCCTCTGTACCGCTCCCCCTGCTTCCACCTCCTATGGTCTGTTCTCACATAGGAACTGGAACAAAAGACCTTCACAAGTTAGGCCTGGTCAATCCCCTGCCTAGAATCCTCCAAAGACGTCCCATCTCAGAGGAAAAGCCAGTTCTTACAGGAGCAACCCAACCCCAGCTCTGCTCTCAGACCTCACTCCTATCATCCACCCCAGCCAGGCTTGCTCTTGCCTCAGGGCCTTTGCACTTGCTGTTCCTGCTGCCTGGAGTGCTCTCCCCCAGACATCGGCATGGCTCACACTCTCATTTTCTTTAGGTCTCTGTTTCATCACCTTACTGGAGAGATGTTCTCTGACAAATGTAAAAAAGAGGCCCACCTGCTGTACCCTGTAATCTCTCTCCTCCTTCCTGTACTTGTCACCATCTGACACACTGTATATTTCACTTAGGTGTTTATTGTTTGTCTACCCCATTAAGATGGAAGCTGTGTCTATGAGGACAGCCTACAGGAGCCCCTCCAGGATGTACTGCACTGCACTGGCTCCTCCAGGATGGCCCTCTACCATTACAGGCAGACTGCTGGGGACCCTACAGGGTTCAGAACCTCTTGAGTTCTCACCAAGTAAGAAAGCCTGCCCTTTTGCTCCCCAACAGACCCTAAACCTTCTGGAACAAAAGCAGATGGGTTCAGCAGCCCACCTAGGCCCATAAGGGTGGGGCAGGAGGCCTGAAGTCCAGTCTTTGCTCTACCACAAACTCTGTTCTCTCTGGGCCTGAGTTTCCTCATGTGCAAAACAGGGAGCCATGGGGTTATTGCGGGGTGAGGTGTGAGAGAGACAGCTCTGGAAAAAGCAGCTGGAACACAATGAGGGTGCCTGTCCCCTTCAGACCTTGCTGGGCAAGTCTTCTCATCCATCTACCCATCTGTCCATTGTCTGTCTGTCTGTCCACCCACTTAGCCAGCCATCCTGCCAGATTTTTCTGAGCCAGGCGCCATGCCAGCTGGAGGCTGTGAAGGACTATGGCTGAGGCATCCTGACCTCAGGGCTTACAATCTCCCTGGGGAGACCCAGTGTCCCCACAGAGTGAGGAATTCACACCTGCAAGACTGTGAGCAGGCATGACCATTGCAGTCAGAACCAGAGGACGGGATCTCCAATGAGAGAAGCTGAGCTATGGTAAGACGGGGACTCGGCCCTGCCACCTATGCCCCTAAGCCCACGAGAACATGGTGACCACTGTGGGAGGCTGGTGAGCACAGAGGCCAGGGACTGCTGTCGGGGGCCTTGGCCACAAAGAGGAGTATCCGTTGAACCTTTCCTGGGTCTCTGAGGGCCCCCAGAGGGACCAGACCTGAAGGCCTGGTCTCTGAGAGGTTCTGGAAGGTGAGGGCTACACATCAAGGGCCCACGAGACAGGATGGTGGCTGGACACATGGTGGCTGCTCTGGGCTGACAGCCATGTGTCACATCCAGCTCCTCAGCTACTTGTTTCCTCAATGCCACCCACCAGCCCAGCCCTGGCAGCTGGCTAGGCCCCTGGTGTGGAAGAGCTGCCCACACAGCCAGGCCCATCCATGCCCAGGCTGCCGCTGGAGGGAGTGAATGCTGAGCCAAAGAGGGCAGCGCAGGGAAACTGCTAGAGCCTGTCGGTGCCCGGCCACAGGTTCAAGGCCCCTCAGGGCCCTGGGCAACAGTCATAGAACAATGAGGCAGAGACAGGGAGTTGAGGAACAACCACAGCTCTGGGGACAGGCAGAGCTGGGGACCAATCCTGGCCCAGCCATTTGGCCTTGCCGTGTGTGCCTCAGTCCATAAAAGGGGGTTGTATCGGGATCTGCCTCACCTCCCGGGTTTCTGTGAGGATGAAGTGGGGAAGCCAGAGGAGCGCTCGGCACTGTGCTCAACTGGGCAAAGCAAAGTGCTCAATAAACATATGCTTAATAGTAGAGTCCGGCCCTGCTGCGTTGTTCCTAGTGTGGTAGCCTTTTGCCTCTACCAATAGGGCGAAAGGGTCCAGGCTCCAACAGGGCAGCCTCAGGTGGGGGCGGGGCAGCTGGGGGAGGCAGGAGTGACATCCCTCACAGACCCTCTCCCCCTCTGGCCCAGGGCTCCTCCTCCAGCTCCCCCAGACATTGGCAGTGTCGAGAGCGCCCTCCCTGTTCTCAAGCACAGGAGACCTTTCCTGAAGTTCCTGTGTGTAACGGGCAGTCCACCACCCTTAATGGTCAGGGTTTTCCTGAAGAAGCAGAGAGGGATCTTGAAGGTGAAGCTGTGATGCTGGGCCAGCTCTAACAGTGAAAGGAATCCAGCTGGAAGTGGAGGGAGAATTGGGACTGCCTGCTGACAGATGAGGGCACCTCTGCATCACCTATTTGCATAAGGTAAAAATATCCTGGGGAGCGCAATCACAGGCCACCAAGGGGCTGATTATCTGTGTCTGGCGAGTGACAGGAGGAGGGTGGGGGTGGGGTGGGGTGGGGGGAGGCTCAGGCTGGGGCCCTGGGGAGAGGAGGAGGGAGCCAGGCCTGTCTGCAGTGAAGAGCTCCAGAGCCCAGCAGAGTGGATGGGGCAGAGGGGCCCCTTCAATACTGTGGGCAGCTCAGGGCTGACGGGAAAGGCCCAAGTGTGCCAGGGAAACCAAGAGCTTCCATCTCTCTGTATCAGCCAAGCCTTCCTGGTGACAAAGGCCTCCCGGCTACTGCGTGGGTAAAAAGCCGAGGCAGAGGACCGGGGACAGGGGTGGGCTGGGCTGAAACAGAGCCTTGGCCCAGAGTAGCCGAGCCCCCAGACAACAAAGCGAAGGAGCTGACGGAGCCCGCCTGACGGGCAACGTGCTCAGAGCTGACCACAGAGTGTCAGCCAGCCTACCCCACCTGCAGGGTTGGGGCTTTTCCTTTCCCTGCTGCCCAGGAGGAAGCTTCCCACCACCCTTCTGCTGTGCTAAGTGTGACAAGCCCAGGAGGTGGTGGGAAAGAGCATGGGGGGCACAGGTGCTCTGCAGGTACTGCCCTAACTCCAGCCTGCTGAGGGCTCTGCGGCCAGGGGACAGAAGTGGGCAGCAATCCCCAGGTCACCGCTGACACCCCAACCCCGTCTCAAAGTAGGGGAGGGGCTGTGCTCAAGCCCCTGCTGCTCCTACCAGTAAAGACTGTCCCTTACCTAAGGTCCTTTTTCCTCCCTGTCACCTAGAATCTCGCAGGCAGGGTGAGCCAAGCAGATGAACCTTAGTTTCTCAAGTGGGGAAACTGAGGCCCAGGGAGTTCAGTAAGTTTCAGAGCAGGGGTGCCTCCTCCACAAGGGCCATTGTCGAGTGGGAGACCAGAAAGTTTCTGAAGAGAGAGCTCTGGGGCCAGGAGGCCCCTGCCTGTCTGCAGCCCAGGGTGGGAGGCTGCTGCTGCAGGAGACCCCACCCATCCTGGTTCTCTCAGCCATTTCTTTCCTGAGCTCCAAACCCCATCCCTTAAGTATGTATAGATGCATCTGGTGAGTAGCTGGCCCAGACAAGGAGATGTGGGGCCATCGAGTCTGAGGGGAAGCCTCCTGGTCCCTAGGGGAGGCCATAAATGCAGCAGTCAAGGGCTAAGAATCTGCTGGGGGCCAGGCTATCCACTTTTGCCACCCCATTCAATGCTCACAAGTGCCTGATCCCCATTACACAGCAAGATTCAGAGAGGATGAGTGGCCCACCCAGGGGCACACAGCTAGTCTATGGCCAGAACTGGAGCCCATAAGTAGTGCTACTGGACCAGGCTCTTTGTGAAGTAGCACCAGCGGCTCTTGGCCTGAGGCTGGAGATGCTGGGCTCTGGCCCTTCTCGGGAACAGTGCCCAGCACAGCACTGGGGGAGGGTGTCTAATCCTCCCCACACTGCACATCCCTGGCTGGGTGTGGGCACTGGGCCACGTCAGCAGGGCTGCCCCCCAGGACTGCTGAGACAACGCCAAGGCAGGCCTGCAGGGAGGGTGAGGCTGGGAAGGAGCCGCCAGATCAATACTGTGCATTAAGTAGCTGTGGGGGCGGGGGCCAGCACCCGGCCTCTGCCACCGCAGCCAGCTCCTCCTGCTCAGATCAGCAGAGCCCCCTCCCAACCAGCCTTATCAGACCCTGTGCGATAAGGATAATCTCTCCTGGCTCTGCTCAGCTTCTGTTACCCATGGCTCTCTCTGCAGGCCAAGCAGACCCTGGCAGGGCTGCCCAGACAGGCACAAAAGGTGTCTTGTCAGGTCCACCAGCAGTAGACACAGACCTTTCACAGTAAAAGGTGTCCTGAGGTCCTTATTGTGCCCGTCACCTTACCCCCATCCTAGTCTGAGGGCTCTCGGGAGCAGGCCAATGCCTCGCCTGGCTCTGTGCTCCCGGCCGTGCCAGGCACAGGGCCTGTGCTGAATGGGATGATGAGTCCTGGGGAGCTGCATGGAGAGGCAGAGTATGCACTCTAGAACCATCGTGTCCGCACCTGCCCGTTCATCAGCTAGGTGACCCCAAGCAGGCCCTAGACTCCCCCAGTCTCAGACTGGGAGGGACCTCAAGGCCATCATCCAGCTACCTCACTGAAGCCTCCATGGACCACACTGGGACCATTGGGACCCCTGAAGAGGTGGGCGCTCACTGTTGCCAAGGTAGCGCATTCTGTCTTTGGGCGGCAATGTCTGTTAGAAGGCTCTCCCTCAGGCTGGAGCAGAAATCCGCCTCCCAGTGACATCTGCCCCTTGGTACCAACTACTTGTCCACATATCAGGCCTTTGAGTAGTGGAAGAGGGCTAAGACATCTCTGAGCCCCCAGCCCCTCCTTGGCAACATGGGGTCCCAATTATAGCTGCCACATTGAGTTGAGAGCACAGATGTCATAACTAGTCCCAAGGCCAGTGAAGAAAGGGGCACCAAGCCAGGCCACCCCATCCTTGTTGGGTTTACTCCCTTTAGAGGCAGCATGGTCCACTTTTAAGCAGTTTTAGAAGAACACATTTGGTCATTTGTGGTTCAAATCTAATCCCCCAAGATGGGAAAGTTGCAGGTGGGGAAGGGGCTCTGGATGGTGGGGAGAACCGGTGGGGTGGGAGCTGTCCAGCCAGGGAAGCAGGAAGAAGGTGGATGCCACTTCTTTACCTGTGGCTCCCAGCCTGCCTTGCACTCCTGAACCTAGAGGAAAACCAGACAGGTCCTTTGGCCAGTGGGCGGGCAGGGGTGGGGTGAACAGAACCCTGTTTGCTAGTGGTTTCGGGTTGGCTGGGGGCCAGACCTGGGGCCTTACCTGGAAAACCCCCTGTAGGTGTTGTCTATTCCGTGAGGCTGCCTTCCAGGCAGAGCCTGGGTGGCTGCACAGGTCGGGGGAGGGCTCCAGGCTCACGTGGCTGAGGGCGGCTCCAGCCTGGCGACACTTCCAAAGCATGACACGCGGGGCTCTGACCTGCAGCCTTTAACCCAGCATGGGGGCTGGGAGCTCAGGCTCAAAGCCACACCGACCAGGTTCAAATCACAGCTCTGCCACCACCTCAGGCTGGGGAATCAGGGTTGTTCCTCTCACCTCAGAGTCTCAGTTTCCCTTTCTGTACAATGGGGTCATGACTGCACCTAAACTTACAAAGTTAATACCAGGATGAAATGTGAAAATGCTTACAAAACACCCCTAGGCCCTGCCCAGGATAGAACTGAGTATGTTGAAGGTGTTCAACATAATACCTGGTCTCGCTGGGCCCCATGTGAAGGACACAGTGCATAGCGTTTGGCATTTTATACATAAATGCACTAAATTTCCCCAATAATTCCATCCAGTAGATACTATTACTTGTCTCATTTTGTAGACAAAGAAAGTGAGGCTCAGACGGGTTCAGTGACTTGCCCAATAGCAAATGCCACCTGCATCTCACTGTCACTGCTATGTTTGCCGCTGTTTTGCAAGCGCCTCCTGTGGATCAGAAGCCATGCTCATATGTCCCCTCTGGGGTGGCAGTTGCTCCTGGGAGAAGGACATGGTGGTGTCCAAAGCTAAGGGCTGGTCCTGGAGAGCCATCCAGCCCTGGCCTCCAGGCTCTGTGGCTATCAGATGGGGCTTTGCTGAAGGCTGGCTACTGGCTAGGACCCAGATCCC